GCAAATTTTGAACACAGCAAAAGTTACATAGTGCTGCTTTACCATAGAGATCCTTATTGTAAAGTGTTACCAGTTTCTTTCACATTTTCAATCATTAATTTTATATATGCCACTGCTCACGATGGCAGTGTGGAAGACAAAACCCTTCCAGACAAACAAGTCATGACATCCCAATCATTTAATAAACAAATAAATCATGTGAACCTACGCAGCTACTATTATGTTACAGGTGACCCAAAACCTCGTGACAAAACCCAATGTAGTTCAAATGGAAAGATAATATCAGGTAGACAATTGGGAGCCATCTTAAACATTTTATTAGCAGCCAATAGTGCTTTAAAAGTCCTTAGCTCCTTTCTGAAACAATACGAACTGGTATCACATCTCTAAAAGCTGGCAAAAATATCACATTTCTGTTATCGGCTGCAGTCTCTGACAAAATCAGCTCAGCGTCAGGTAGAGGTGTGCGCAACATCTTGATATCCAGTCCATTAGAATCCATACTTGGCTTGCGTTTGTCGTCGAGTCAACTTGTTTTCGGCCCAGTTGTTCTTGAGTTCCAGCTCGCGTTCCTTGGCCTGATGAATCAGATAAGTGATTTGGTGCTTGCGTCTCTGTTGTCCTGTTGGCTGATCTCCTTTTTTCTGAAAATGAGATGGAAAAGTCAAGACTTTTTCTTTCATTTATCTCCTTCAAACAAATAGCCATCAAAAAAATGGACACTTGAGGTGCTCACCTTGCTGAAGGACTTGCGGGGCTCTGTCTCTGCTGTCATGTTCTTTGTCAGCCATTGCTTATTGCCGCTCAGCTGATCGTCTCCTTTGATCTCCAGGAACTTGATTTCCTCTCTTCCACGATTCTGTTTGCCTTGTAGTCGCCGAAACTGGAAAAATACAAAAAAATATCATTTTGAACTAAATCTTGATCAACCAGGACAAGTCATGCTAAAACTTGCTGTCATGATGCTGGGATGAGATAGTTGTTAGAACATTCTTAATGGTTGCTAAGTCATGACTTACCGGCCCAAGTCAAAAGACCCCACCGCTATACAAAATTTGACACCTGTTTTGCATCCACCAGGCAAAATTATACATAAAATCTCAACAGCATGTATGATATGAAGCATTATTTCAAAGAAGTGAAATAAATACACACCAAAGAATAATACTTAAGAGTTATGGAGTTAAAAAATGTGATCAGCTAAGGACAACATTTCCCCATTCAATATGACTATACAATAATAACAAGTATTAATATTATTAATTAAAATAATATTTGTATTATTTAAATTACAAGAATTAAATCAATAAAGAGATACTCTACTGCAAGATACAAAAATTAGAATTTAATAATAATAATATTTTATTACTTAAATTACAAAAAAATAAATTAATATTACTAAGAAATGTATAATATATACAAATAAATTACTATTGCAATAATACTATTATAATGTACAAAAAAGCAAGAATTTAATAAATCATCATGCTTTAATCTTTTAATTATTAAAATGACAAAAAAATAAACAAATTAATATATTACCACAGCAATAATACTATTATACTGTAGAACAAAAATGAGAATTTAATAATAATACATATAAATGTTGGTATTGTTCTAAATAATACTTTTATTTTATCACTACAAAAAATATATTTCTTGTGAATAAATAAAGAAATTACTATTACTACTGTACAATAAAAAATATAATCTAATAATAATAATAATAATAATAATGTATTTTATTTCATTATTATTTAAATTACAATATGTTACTATAACGTTAATACTATATATATTTTTTTATATAATTTTTTATTTTTTTTTAAATACCAACAACAATGATCATTATTTTATTTTAAATAATAATAATACAATTACAATACTAATATTTAAGTCTATGAGTGGTACTTGGGTAGTTGACAAATATACCGTAAATGTGTCCTATGGTGTGACAGCAAAAATGTAGAAAAAAAACTAACAATGAAGAAAAATCTCTCTTATGCTATTTGTATATTATTAACAAGAAATTAATTATTAATAATGATTAATTATTATTTTCGAAATTTTGCTGTTACACCATAGGACACATGTACGGTATAGATGTCAACAACCCACTTATACTTCAGTCATACTTCAGCTTGGAAAATATGGAAATCCATATAAATAGAGAACAAACACATCCCTGAGTACCAGAGATGCTACAAACAACTCACTGCTTCATCATTGAACAATGAAGAGGACCCTGAATCTTCTTGCTCATCAGCCGCAGCGTTTGGGTCTTGGTAATATCCCTCACCATAGTAATCCTGCCAAACATATGCATAAAACATCAGCTGCAGAAATGACAAGGAACACACTGGTGTATGAAGCTTATCAATAATGACATGTGTCACCTGTGGAGAAGTCTCTGGCAGTGGATTTGCGGGATACTCCTGGTACTGCTGTTGATATTCTTCCTTCTGATAGTCTTGCATGGCTCCGACTGACCTACTGTAACTGTCTGCTTTAGAAACAAAGTCCAGCGGAGCGTCCTCCACACCGGGTGGAGGGTTTAGAGAAGGAACATACTGTTGAGAATGCGGGTTTTGAGACATCACAGGCTGTGCTGAGCTTTCCGGAAGGGAAAAGTAGTTCTCTGGAGTGAGTTCATCGTCACTTCCCTCTTCATCCGCGGCCATTTGTTTGGCTAGCTGCATCGCCGCTGACTTTGCAGCTGCTTTGATGGCGGACGGGGACGGGCTGGTTCCAGAAAGACCCTGGGACTTCGCCGGGGTTGCCTTTGGCTTATCCGATCCAGGGCGTTTGGTTAGAGTGTGCGGCAGCAGGGGCCGCTTGGTCTCCTTCACCACCAGATTCTTTGGCTGGGGCAGCAGAGAGGACAGACCACCACCTCCCTGGAAGAATATGGAGGAAAATATTCTTATTTACTATGATGGTAAATCCACCCAGACCATTTACATTCAATTTTTTAAAAATTATAATGTAAAATGGGCCATCGAGAGAATGCTGTGGTAATGACGCCACAACCAACAGCTCATTAACATATGCCCGCCCACCTTAATCCTTATTCATGAGAGAAAGAACTACAATCCTATGAAGCATTGTGAATGGCATAATTAAAATAAAAATTATTCATATAAATTATTGATTTATTGATAAAACATTGATTATGTGTATAGAAACAATATATTTTATGTTTACTGCAAAATATGCAGAGTGGAAGTATTTGTTTGTTGTGATTCCCTGATTGGTGGAGATTTCTGCAGAATCATGGGTAATGTAGTTTTTCAACTGCAATTCTGCTGTTGTACATGATTATTTTTAAAAGATAATAATAACAACGTGGGCTGACGATTCTAGCAAAAACATATACTATCAATTACCAACACCGTAGCTCACAGTAGGTTTGTTTTTATTGGTTTATAAGTTAGTGTTAAAAATAAATACCCCAATGAAAAAAAATGAATGAGATTTTTACTTCCGAAACCTGACTGTTGCCCTCTATAAAGGAACAGTAATAAAAATACTTAATAGATAATTATAAATCATTTATATCTAATTACAGATATATAATAATAGTTAGTTTTAGATATTTTAATGTAAAATATCTTGTTTAAACCTAAGGATCAGATAGCTAATTATAAATAATTTACGTCTAATAAATATCTTTATATCTAATTATAGATATGTAATATTTAAGATATTTTTTATACATTAGTTAAATATAAAAGTAGCTTGTTTAATGCTAAGGGTCAGAAGATTATCATTTCAAAT